AGGCCCCATGAGACCACTGGATCTTGGGAGACAATTCCAAGATGGGCGTAGCGCTCCTGATCTTTGCTTTGGAAGCCTGCTGAACCTGTACCTGATCATTTGCAGCTGCTGGTTTGGGTTTCCACCTTACCCTAGTGGCTGTGAAAACACACCAGGTGTACTTAATCAATTTCCTTTCTAACTCTCCCAGATTGATGGCTTGGGACTTGGGAGAGGATTGGGAGAAGGAAGCGAACCTTCCTCGGTGGCCCATCACTCCAGCTTTGGGGAACAAAGACCAATGTGAAGGCGCTCTGGGGAGTCCTTGCTTCCAGTCCCCGTGCACCCCACCCCCTCCGGGGGAGTGCTGGGATAGGGGGCTGGGGGCAGGCAGAGGGGCCTTTGCCCTAGGATTAGGTTCCAGGTGGATGCTGGTTGTAGCTCGAGCACTACTGAAATTCACCCAAACAAGAGAAAGCTGTGAAACCCGGAGGTCCCAGTTTAAAAGAGGCCTGGAGGCGAGCTGCCGGCCCTGGGTGTTTCGGGATGAGAGGGGGAGGGCCCACCCGGGCTGGGATCAAGTTTGCCCCAGCTAGCCTCGGGCCCACGCTGAGCCTGAGCCTTTCCCGGGACTGCCGGATAATCCCGTGTGGAGCGGGAAGGAACCTGCTGGAAGGATCCTGCGGCTGCTGGCACGGACTTCTCAACGCCACCGCTTATTCTCCTCTCGGTCGGAGTTGTCACACAGCCTGTCTGTGCAGATCCCGCCACCACGTGTGACCCGAGGTAGGAGGCCCGTGGGGGCAGCAGGCCCTGACGGCCCGAAAGAGGGAGGTTCGGGAGCCCAGTCTCCAGAGGAGGGGCGCGCGTCTGTAGTCACTCTTCTCCGCGGCGGCCGAACTTGGCCTGAGACTGTGTGCATCGGTTGCGTCCCCAGGATTCCGGTTTTGTGTGTTTCCTTCTCTTTCTCCGTATTTATTTTTTTATTTCTCGGAGGAGGTGCAAATTTTAGGAGTGGCTGGTGGACCAAGGCAGCCAGTCTCAGGCTGCTCCCCCTCCACCCCGTCCCGTGTGAAGCCTGCGCCGTCCTCCTCCGCGCCCTCGTGCTGGGCAGTCCTGGGGTGCAGGGGCCGCTGGACTCTGTGCAGGCAGTGAACCCATTTGACATGCTGCTATGAAGACTACTTTTAGAACAACAATTAAAAAAAAAAAACTAACCTACGGAAAAGAAACAAACCCTTTATTCTTTCATTGTTGCTTTGACAGTGATCTCGTGCATGCGAACCAGGAGCATTTTGTGTCTTAAAAACAATCTTAGAACAGATGGCCGTGAACATTACACCCGTGCCCAGTCACAGGAATAATAGTTCAGGATTTGGTTTTTCTCTTTTTCTTGTAAACCTGAAGGGTTGCTATCTTCTTTCCATGCAGTTCTTAGAATTTAGTTTTGTTCCAGCAGTTGTTAAACTTGCAATGAGAAGAAAATGTGCCATTTTTTCCCCCACTCAGAATTATTCATCGCTGTATATTTGAAACTGCTAATTACACGTGCGGTGTATGTTGGTTCTTAGTGCAATTCGTTCTGTAGTTATTCTTTGACCAAACCGTGGGTATTGTTAATATTAATTTATATTTGTCTCATTTTGTATGTATGTGTAGTGTGTTTGTAAGTGTGTATGGTTTATAATCTGACAAGGTCATGAAGCTCAGTTTGGCTGTAACTTAATTCCCTCTCCCTTATTTTTATTTATTTTTGTACTGTGCTGATTAAATAAAATGCACTGACCATCCATTCCGTAGGCCTCTTGTCATTCACGAGCAGGCTGGGGGCCCCTTTTATAAATGATTCCTGCGCTCTGAATGTAATTGGATTTGTATCGTGGGGAGGGGCTGGGTGGTGGGGGGAGGGCAGGGCTCAGGGAGAGGGCTTAACTGGTGCTTTCAAGTTAAGGTGATTAAGAGAGAAGTGCAGGTTAAGTCAACTAGAGCTTAGCCTTGCCAAGGGCTGGTGGCAGGTGTTGCTCCCCCAAGGTACCCCGGGCTTGGCTTTGCAGAGCTGGGTGACTGGGACATGTGGCCAGGGGCCGAGGATTAGGCCCAGGCTTGGCCCTGTGAGGGCTGGTGTCATGACTCCCGCAGGGGCACCAGTCTTGGCTCCCTTCGGGGAGCTTGGCTCTGAGGCTGTTGCCCACGTATCCCTGGCCTGGCTCTGCTCAGCACCCACGGCCCAGAGGCTTCCTCTCTGGCCGGTGGCTGCAGAGTTGTGTCCACGTGGCTCAGACCTGCCACTTTAGCTGGGAGCAGGTTTCCAAGAGTGAGGAATCCAGCCCTGCGGCTCCCAGCCCACGATTGTGGCAAGAGTGGGGCCCCCTACTGGCGGTACTGCCAGCGGTCCTGGCCCCCTCCTGCCCCCAAGCCCAAGCTTCAGGGTTTTGGGCAGTGTGAACTTGAGCCTACCCAGGGCCTGCACCCTCTGGTCCCGCGGTGCCCTTGGACGCCAGGAAGGCATTTCCACCCAGCTTGCCCTGCGGGAGCGGTCTGCTCTGTGACGGGGGCCACCGGTTCTTCTCCGGGCCTTTCCCTCGGTCGGAGTTGCAGAAGCACGTTCTTTGCCACCAAGGACAGTGAGCGAGTGGGGAGCTGGGGGCTGGGGAGGCTCTGCCCTCTCTGGGGCCTTGCTGACCTGCCCCCACCCAGACAGGTTTGGATTCCTCCCGCTCCTTCTCTTGCCACCCCCCTTGTCCCCAGCCAGCCCTCCCGGGGAGAGGCCTCCAGCCGCTGTAGGCTTCCTTCGCTGATACGTGCCCTGACTTCAGTCAACACCACGCCGTGAACTTTGAGTCTGGAGTCTGACGTGCAGGCCTCAGAATGGAACGACGTGCTTTGATTGAACTCTGTTGCCTCCCAGACTTCCCGCTGGGTGTTCAATATTTTCGTTGAAAAGCCTCGGTAAATTAGCCTCCATTTTACCTTATTTGTGGTTAATGCTCCCTCCCATCCTCTGGGGCAACAGCTGACGTTTTACCAGCTGGAATGTCACAATGGTAGGTCTAGTTTTCAATCACAGATAAGCAGGACACCTTTAAAAATAAGATTTAATGCTTTATTGCTCTTGATGGTAAATCAAAATATGCTCTAGAAATAAAGTTAATTTAATGGAAAATAGGAATAAACGCAGCAAACCATAAAACTGCATTTAATTAGATCAAGAGAAACACTTCATTGCATACAATCACTGTGTCCTCCTGCTCGCCCCCCCTCCCCCAGCACCTGGAGGCACTGCAAAGCTGACGCCCTGAAGGCGGGAGCCTTCCCCAGCTGCCACATACTGGGATTCTGTTAGGACATCAGGAAAAAGTGCTTGTCGACTGGCCCTCGGCTGCAAGGGGCCGAGGAGCCCCAGGCAACCCCGAGAGGCGGCACGAAGGACCCCACCACCCACCCTCCTCCCCAGCCCCGGAAAGGCACTCCTTTTGGCATGTTCCATTTTGGTGCATCTAAAACATACATGTGCATGTCTCTAGCGTAAAGCAACAAGTTTGGGGGAAATGAGTGGAAAGGAGAGCAGGCGCCATCCCAGGGAGGATGGTTCCGCTAGTGTCAAGGTGATTGGCAAAACTCCGCTGCTAAACAGGCTGGTGGCGCCTCTGTGCGGGCAGGCAGCTGACCGGGCTTCCAGAATGAGAAAGGCTTTCTAAGGACCGATGCCAAGAGGATTCTTTGTCGCAAATTGCACATGGTGCAAAGGTTTTGCGGTTTTGGGGGCCATGGGGAGTCAGGCAGGGGGGTGTGGGGAAAACCGGGCTGCTTGTTGGGACCACCCGGCGGGTCGGCCAGGTCATGGTGGCAGGCGCCGGGCCAGGCACGGCAGGGGGCAGGGTGCTGCGCTCAGACACTAGTGTGTGTTGCAGAGTCAGGGTGGTGGCTCGGGATCAGGGGGAGGTGGTAGGAGGAGGGAGTGGGCAGCATCTGAGGCATAAAAAGTGAGGAGAACGTCAGCGCGTCCCTCTTTTATCTCCCAATGGTCTCCTCCCAAGCTGTGGGCTCCCCCTCAGCCTCCTCCCCACATTGGGGTGTCCCAGGTCTCTCCTTTTAAGTCTCCTGGCCTGGGCAGCCCGCGCTGCTCGGGGCTTGGGGCAGCGTCCTCAGTCGAGGCTCAGGAGCGGATGGGTCTCCGGAAGCATCCTGCTGGGCCCAGCCTGGCAAGACCGTGGCACTCTCCTGGCATGAGGTCTGCAGGCCCAGCCTGGGCCCCAGCTGTGGGGGTGGGGTGGGGAGGTGTATGCGGGGCTAGGGGGGCATCCTGGCCTGGCCTGCAGTGCCAGGACCCCCCCCCCCCACTCTGTTTCTGTCACTCTGCCCTTCTGGCCCTGGTCCTTGTTCTCCAAACGTGTCTGAAACAGAGGTGTCAGAAGGGGAAAACTTCAGACCCCCCTCACCCCCGCCGCCACTTGGAGTGCTCCCTGCCCCCTAGAATTCCGTTTTCTAATTGGTGCTCCCTCCGGGAGTGTGGGCACAGCAGACACTGTATCCGATGTGCAGCCCTGAGTGTTGCATATGTCACTGTGTGACTGCCATGGGCACAGGCCATGCAGTTAAGATGGGCCTTGGAGCACCTGCTCTGCTCTCTCCCAGAGAGGTGGCCTGTGGGCCCGGGGGTGGGGGGCAGGGGGGCGTGCAGGCTGGGCCGCCAGCTGGGCACGGCTGTTCTGGCCAGGGGCCGAGGGGCCGGCCCGACAGGTGAACCTGCCTCCCTGATGGCTCTGGCTGACTGCTGGGGAGAGGGGACCCACTGAGGAGCTCTGAGCCAGGGACCCTTAGGGGAAAGGGGTGGCGGGCTGTGCTTATGGAGAAAACAGGGCTATATCCCCAGCTCATCTCCAACGATATCCCCCAAACCCCCCAGGGGAGCACGTTTTGGGTTGGGAAAACTGCATCCACCCCTTGTGGTGTCAGGTGGTCAGTGGGTCAGGCATGTGGACCTCAACAGGCCAGTGGGGGTGGGGGGGGTGGCGGCGGGGGCCTCTGCCGACATTGAGTGGCCTCTGCGGGGAGCTGTGTCTGGGTGTGAGCCCAGGGGTCTGTGGCAGGGCGCCGGGGTCTTTGGTTTGTTGAGTGAGGGCTGTGGAAAGTGGGGGGAGAGGAGGATGGAGACCAAAGGCAGAAAACCAGCAAGAAAACCTCAGGGGAGGAGCCCTGGAGGAGGCAGGAGAGGGGCTCGGCCCCAAGCACGGAGGACTCTTGTGAGCTGATTTCTAGCGGGCGGTAGCGGGGAGTCAGCAAGTCAGACGGGGGCTGCAAGGCCTCCCCGGTGCGCGGTCAGTTCCCCGGCACGCTGAGGATGAAGCCGGAGCGGTTCTTGGTGAAGTCGGGCTCTGGCTGGTTGGTCCGCGTCTCCACGGAGACGGTGCACTTCTTGCCGTGCAGGCTGCACTGCACGGGGTTAGTGACGTTGACTTGAAGGTGGCGCTTCTCACTGGAAGAACCAGAAAGAGAAAGACCAGACAGGCAGTGAGCAGGCGGCCAGAGTGGGGTGAATGGCCCTGGCAACCCCTGGGGCCCACAGTGTGCCCAGCTCTCAGGGTCAGGGGCAGGGGCGATGCCCTCAGACAGGGTGAGGGCAGCAAAAGTCAGCGCTGGGCGGCAGCCTCAAGCCGGCAGAGAGTGGGGCTGCCACGGGGGCACCCAGCTTGCTGCGGGGGGACCAGAGCTGCGCAATGCGGCACCCTGGCCTGAGGTCGGGGACCTGGTCACTTGGGTGGGAAAGGTCAGCAGGGGTCATCAGAAGAGGCACGAGTTTCTGACTCGGGGCTACTGATCAGCAGTCTGTGGCCGCAACAGGGAGCCCTGGGAGGCATGTGGGGGTGGTGGGGGGACTGGAGATTCTTGCCTGTGGGCTCTGCCTGGTGAGAGAAAGGTGTCCTGGGAGTTCTGCCCAGTACGGGGCCCAGCAGGGAGAACGGGGGCTGACTCCTGCTTTCCCAGTGCCCTGAGCGGCCCTCGCCCACTCGGGGTCACCGAAGGCCTGCCTGGTAGATGCCCCCCGACCCCAAGTGCCAGTGCACCTGCCGCGGGCTGCCACGCTGCGGGCATTCCAGACGCCACCTCTTTGCCAAGTGGAGGAACACATGCAAAGTGGCGGGCACCTCCTGTGCGCTCTCACACAATGGCACACCCCACACCGTGGCTTGTGCCCCTCGGCTTTCTCGGAGCCAGAGATGCAAGGAGGAGGGCCTGTGTTGGCCGGGATCCGGGGCGCTGGGTGGGCTGGCAGGGCACGCAGCTCTGCTGTGCCCAGGTGTGTGCGAGGTGCTTTCCGGGCACGTGCTTGGCCTGACGGGAGGCGCGGCCCCTCGGACGAGGGACCTCCACGCCGCAGCGGGGGCTTCCCGGCACCTGTCTGCACGTGGCCAAGGATGTCGCGCTCGGGCTTCCTCCTGCCTCTTTCCCACCTGCCTTCTTCCTGGTCTGTCCCGGAGGCAGACGGTGGAGCAGGAGGAGGCTCGTGGTTATCACTTGTGGGCACTAAGTATCTAATACTTAATGTCTTGTCAGCTGCAGCTAAAACCTTGGCTTAGACAGATATTTTTAACTAGACTTGGACATAAATAGAGCCCGGCGGAGGCAGTGACTCAGGCACTGCTCTGATCCTGGGGGAGCCAGGGCTGTTGTGTGGGGTCTCGGTGAGGGCCCTGCGCTCCTGGTCCCCACTGTCATGCTAGCCCAGGGCAAGGAAAGCCCCCCCCCCCCCCCTTACAGCCCTGCCTGTGGCTGCAGATGCTTCTAGGACCTGGATCCTGCACCTTTCCCGGCTTAGTCAGCCTCCTGGTCCCTCTTGTCAACCTGGCACCGCCTCTGGGTCCCTCTGAGCTGGAATCACAACCCCTGGGGATGTCCCTCTTCTGGCTCTGGTAGAGGCATCCCTTTTGCCCTTGCCTGGTAGTGGGCACATGTCTTCCCTCAGTGCACTGCTGGGGACAGGCCCTGTCTCCCGCTTTCTGCGTCTGTGTCCCCCACCTACTCCATGGTACAGTAGTGTGCACGCAATGGGTTCTAGAGAAAGTCCTCAAAATGGCTCTAAAAGGGCCACATTCCAAATGGGGGGGGATGGTACTCACTAGCGACCCCCATGTTCTCATGTTTGTACCACTGGGAAAGGCTACTTTCAGTAGGGTCCTTCTGACTCCAGCCCTCCCCAGCCCTGAGTTCGGTGTCCACGCAGTGTGGCCCCTGAGTTCACTCTTCCTCCCTCTTTCGGGCTCTGGGCATCTCTAGCATCTGCTCTCAAGTCTCGGTGCAGGGGTGAGGCTGGTGGGAGAGGGAAGAGCAACCGGTTATGTAGATTGCAGAAGGAAGTCACAAGGGCCCAACTTCACCTTGTAAATGAGCCCCCCGGGTGGGGGTTGTAGGAGAGAAAAAGCTCCAGGCAGAGAACCGGAGCTCCAGGCTGCTGCTTCCTACACTGGGCGGGGCTGGATGCATCTCCGCTAGCCTTTATAGCAGCCTCAGCCCACGGTCTGGGCTCCACTTCCAGAATGCGAGTCCCAGAGGGCAGCAAGGGCCCTTAACAGGGCTCACGCAGCGCTGGTGTGGTGCGCAGGCCTCATGTCCCTTGCTCCGCACACCGCTCCCTGCCGCCAGCAACACAACTCCGCCAACTCCAAATACTCATACAGGCTGGGCTCAGTGAGGGCCGAAGCAGGCCCAGCCTGTGAAGTTCATCCCAAAGGGAAAGTGGCCAGACAGCCTGTAAAATGGGAGGCCTGCCCCTTAGCAAAGGAATATTCTCTATTCCCAAATTAAGTGACAGTCCGTGCCGGTGCTCCTGCTCCTTCCCTCGGCAGAGCCCTGAGGGGCCCTGTCCGGATTCCCAGCCTGTTTTCATGGAGTGCTGTGGGGTGTGGGCAGAAGTCAGGGGTGAGGGGCTACATGTGATGGTTTTAGGATAGAACAACGTGGGCTGCAAGGAGAACAGCCTTCTGGTCTTCAGGGCTGGGCTGAGCAACACCTGCCGGCGCTGTCTGCACACAGCCACCAATGGGTGACAAAGTGGGAGGACGTGGATGGAGTCTGGCGGCTCCTCAGCAAGTCGCACAGAATTATTACCCCACAACCCAGCAAGTCCTCCCACTCCTGGAGACACATCCAAGAGAACTGGAAGCAGAAGTTCACACAACACAACAACATTTACCATACTGATTACGGCAGCTTCACAGACCATAAACAGAAGGTAGAAATAACCCAAATATCTGTCAGCCAGTGAAGGGCCGGAGTGGCATATCCGCGCGGTGAAATACCGCTGAGCCGTAAAACGGAAGCACTGACACAGGCCCCAACACAGAGGACCCTGGAAAACAAGCTGAGAAGCCAGACACAAAAGCCATGTGTTGTGTATTTCCACTTGCAGGATATGTGCAGAACACCCAAATCCACAGGGATAGAAACAGAGGGGTGGGGTGTGGAGGGACTGCTTGAAGGGTATGGGGTTTCCTTCTGGGGTGACGAGAATATTCTGGAACTAGACGGCGGTGACGGCTGCATAGCACTGCAACTGTACTAAACGTGACTAATGGTAAATTTACGTTCTGTGTATTTTAAGCCACGATAACGAGAGAAAAAAAAAGTAGATTCCTCTGAAAGACTAATCGGGACCCCTGGGAGGTACAGTTGAGCATCCGATTCTTGGTCTTGGCTCAGGTCAGGATCTCAGGGTGGTGGGATGGAGCCCCGGCGTGAGCTCCGTGCTCCACGCAGGGTCTGCAGGCGATCCTCTCCCTCTGCCCTGCCCCCTGCTCATGCGTGTGTGCATTACAATAAAATATTTAAAGAAAAAAATTTTTAAAAGATTTTTTATTTGACAGAGAGAGTAGAGTAGGAACATGAGCAGGGGGAGTGAGAGAGGGAGAAGCAGCAGGCTTCCCGCTGAGCAGGGAGCCCGATGCAGAGCTCGATCCCAAGACCCCAGGATCATGATCCGAGCTGAAGGCAGACTCGTAACTGACTGAGCCACCCAGGTGCCCCTATACAATCTTGCATAAAGGACAAATAAGAACTTGCCCTCAAACTGTGTTTTCTTTCTCATCTCAAGCTCAACCCAAAATGGCTCTAAAACCAGCTAGGGGTTTCTTGTGCCTGTTTTGGGGACAGAGCAGTAGCTGGGTTCCAGGGGTGGCCAGGAAGTAGACCTTCTGGGAGCGTCAGCTGACCTCTCTGGCTGGACCTTCACCACACTAGAAATCTTTAGAGCACTAGAGTGACTTCCTCATCTTTTTAAGAAAAGGCAGATTTTATAGATGGGAGCAGGGTGTCTCCCTCCGATGGCACGCCAAGCCCAGTGACAGCTGCCGCTGGAGGCTGGCGGCAAGGGGAGGGCTGCTTTCCTCCCCGTCTTCTGTTACAGGACTTAATGGCTCAGCAAACTCTGGAATTCGGGGACTTTCATCTTGTTTCATCTGTTCCAAGCCATCACTGCAGGCAAATGGCCTTTATCGAATTACGTTCCTTCATTTTGCATTTAGACGCTGGTCCTCATTAGGGAAATCCATGGGTAAATGCAAGACCCCAGCAACAGGCGTCCCCGCATGAACTGTGGGGTTTCTTTGTAGGTCCTGCACAGAAAGGGGAAACCAAAGTATCCCTGGGAGCTGAATCGGCCTAGGAAGTGTCCACTCCTGTCCAGCCCCCTGCAGCTGGGATGGGGAGACCCCCACCCACCCAGAAACGAGTGGGCCACTTTCTCAAGGGCGTCGCCGGTGTTCCCCTCCAGAAGGGTGGTGACCCCATTTGGATAAATGTGCTCTAAGGGGGAACGTAGGGGGTGCGGGGTATAGTGCTGTGCCCTGGCGAGCACGTTCTCTGGGGGCCGGCAAGGTGTTCCCAAGTGTGAGGCTAATTCGACCTGTGCCCTCGGGTTTGCACACAGGATGTGGTGGGAGGAAGCTCGCCTTGCACCAGACGCAGGCAGGTTGTAAATAGAGGCCTCTCCAAGCGGTGAGTGGTGTGGTCAGCATTTCGTGCCGGACCCCCGGGGCCCAGAGTCAGGCCCTTCTCTAGGCACCTCTAGGATACAACGTGTTAGCTTGGGTGGTGGCTGGGATGCGCTATGGATGGGACAGCCAGAGCTTGTGTGTGCAGCTGTCCCTGTGCGTTTCGCGTCAGGAAGCAAGCCCCACGCTGCTGTGTCAAACCACACAAGGCTAGTCTTTCAAAACCCGGCTTCAGGAAATGCTACTTCTGTTTTTCTCGGGGCTGAAGGGCTACTCGGGTCGGGGTCACTTGTAAAGCGAGACTGAAGCCAACATCACTGGTCCTGAGAGTGGGGTATCCCAACTCCTGGTCTCCCGAGTCCTGTCTGGGTTGCTGCTGGTGAGGCACGGGGTCACCATTTTTAGTTAGAAGAGAAAACTTCCCTTGTCACGACACTTGTCTCGGCAGGCAGCTTGTTCTGAGGCCCCACGTCTGCCTCCACATCACTGA